CTCTTTGCCAACCTGCTGCTCAGTATAACTTCCTGCCAGGTGCATGGTGCATATGACCACACAAACCCACGCACGCACACGCATGCACGCACACGCATGCACACATACACGCACACACACAATCACGCACACACACACACTCTTTTGCAGCAGCAGATGACTTTAGATATGTATGGATTTAATCCGTGCCCCGGGTGCTGCAGAGGTATTATGGACAACAAAGGCCTGATAAAGATGCCATTTTAGTCAATTTAGCTCCAGGATATGATTAGTAACGACCCACACCAGGTGAGAGGCCTGAGGCTACGGCGCCGCTACGCCAATAATGAGAGAGGACAGAGAGAGGGAGAGATAAATGGATGGAAGGAGAGCGAGCAAATCTTTAAAAGAGTGACTGGTCATCTTGTGGGGAAATTAGATACATCTTTAAAGATCACAGGAATTAAATGGCTAATTTGGTGAATGGAAATAATCAAGAGTGAAGAGTCAATTAGGAGCAGATTTCAAATTATTTCTGACAGGTACAATGATAACAGTTTACAAACAGGGATATAAGATGCACACCCACAGTATGCTGCTGGGATGTTTTTAAAGTTTCGAGTTTTAAAGTACTGGGTGTTGCACACCTTTCAGGCCACAAGAGAGCAGGGCACACTAACATGATGTGAAAATTAAACAATATGGTTCATGATCCTCCTGAAACATTAAACAGCAGACTCGAAGCTGATAATTAATCACATTAATGAATGTATCAAGTGAACCTACTAGCTTGTGTTGATTCTGATAAAGGATATAAACTAGTTGTTTTTATGTTGTACTATGCTGCTACCAAGAAAAACAATATACAATCAAAATGCAAACTAATAGCAAAACAAGAATGATGACAGGCACTAAAAGTTGTGAGATTTAACCAAAGTGCAGCAACAAGTCTATCTATCATCTGTAAGCAGCAGGAATCATACCCACAACCTAACAAGCACCAAGTCCACTGTTTGACTCCGGTACATGAGGAGGCCCAGTGAGCTCCACAGCTCCAAACTGGTCCTTCAGTATTTTTCAGCTAACAAGCTGAGCTGAGCTGAGTTCAGCGTGTACAGGAAGTGTTGAGTAAAGCAAGTCTGTACAAGAGATTGTTTCAGCATCAGCTGCTTGAGTAAAGTTTGTAGAGGTTTGGAGTACGGAGCGTCTCAGTTGTGAATTCATACAGTTTCGGAAAGTCCCCGGGAGGGAACATGTCAGTCAGTCACTACAGCTGTGCCGCTTAAAGGTACCATATGTAACATTCAGAAAACCCGAGTTACAGTTTCCTCTAGAGCAACCACCCTCTGAAGGTTAGAGTTAGTTTAGGTTCAGTTTAACAAAAGAGAAACACACTAATGAGGAAACAGGCTTCGAAACAACACCGCCAGGAAACAAGTTGCAGTAATTATAGTTTGAATTTGAACTATATTTGATATTAGATCATATATTTGGCTCACCAGTACAGGAACAGAGTTAAAACAAAGTGTTGTGTTCTGGTCTGGCTTTGTGAAACGCTCATTTGTGAAGTCCCTTCATGAATCAACAGTTCTAACACTGGTGACACTAGTTTTCTTCTCATGTGGAGTTTGTGTTGGAAACTGCATTGTGCTGGGAGTCAGTCATTTGTTGATGTAAGTGGACTTCATTTCTAAGCTAATGTTAGAAAGTGTTGCACACTGTTGGTGCTGTAGGGAAATGGAGGAGAGGCATTGTGGGAAGACACTCAGATGAAAGCATAAACATCAATCATCAGGATTTTACTGGAAAGTTTGTCTGTAGTCATTTAGTTTATGTTACAGTCTGATCGCACAAAACAGTGATTTTCATGTAAATTGTCTCAAAATGTTTCATATAAATGGTCTGTATGTATATATGTATTTATATATAGCACTATAAAAGCTCAATTTTTTCACAAGGCACTAATGTGACATTTGAACCCTGTCTGAAGTTGTAATCCTTCATTTAAAATGGCTGACAGTTAAGGAGAGCAGGTCAAAGATATATGGCTTTTTCCTGGATGCAGTATACGTATAAGTATAAAATCATGTCAAACTCATTGTAGAAGCTATTTGGTGGCTCAGTTTGGCCCAGCGTTACCATAGTTGAAGAAAACACTTCAGCTTTTGAAGTTGTAATGATTCAAAACAGACAGCAAACACAAAGCATCGTTTCAAAGGGAGGCCCAGAGGAGACAAGGAAACGAGAGACATGAGTATGAATGGGGCTAAGGGAGGAGAAAACGGCAGCTCTCTGTTGAGCGCAGCAGGTTAATTTGCTCTTGTAAGAACGAGGGCTTTCCCTCTAGCCGCCCTTATCTTTGTTGTCCTCCTGGATGTTAGTGTCAAACCGAGAGGCAGTGTGAGGATCCTGCTTCGGCACTGTCACCTTGCTGGTTGCAGCCCAGGAGTGACAGAGTAGCAGCTTTACACTGTAATCCTGTAATTATGTCAATTAATGGGCTGAAGAATGGATGTGGGGAGCGGAAATGTTGTAAAGAGGGGAAAGTAATATCACATACTCCGGGAAACAAACAAACCCATTACACCAGGAGGTGATGTTGAAAAAGAGGATTTACTCTCTGTTATTGAGCTCTAATGAGTTAAGATGTTTTTAATTGGTCAAACAAGGTCCAATCATTGTTGATAACATTCCTTGAAAACGGCTTAAAGAAAGACAGATATAGCTGGAAAAGTGCGAAATGCATCAGGCAAAAGGTCTGAGGGAAGAGTGTTGTACATTACATCACATAGGATTTAGAGCAGCTATATTGAGAGATTACACAGAAACATAGAGTATACAGTTATAATCTTATACGTCGTAGTCCGGTGCGACTGCTCTTTGTTAGGTGTTTTACAGATAGTCAGCCTTGATGACTGGTGAAACACTCACTGAAACATGCTGCAGCAACCAAGGAGGGTGCTGAGTCTTGGTCAAGGAGAAACATCAAGTCCAAATTTCTTGTAGAAATACATATCCCAGTCCGTCTGATGAAAAAGTTGAAAAAAAAAAAAGTCATGTTGAACTGAAGTGTAGGCTTTACCAAAGTTTACTGTAATCACTGGGAGTGCAAGATTCCTAAGACTGATATGGTTATTATGGTAGTCCCTAAGGAAAACACAGAAAAGACTAAAACCACAAACTTGCTGCATACTGGCTTTTACCAAAACACAAGGGTGAGAGCACAAACACTGGCCTTGGAAATATGAAAACACTGAAAATATAAAATCCCAAGTACAGTAGAAAACATACTAGAAAAACCACCAAACAAATACTAAATAGGGGGCGTAGAAACACTTGTAAGACCAAGAAAATGTGCTAGTAGCTAAACAATGTCTGATAAGACCTCAACTGACCTTGTTTTTTAATATATGACGTATGACATAAAATGTCCGATCCTGGACAAGGCGGTTCATGCAGGAATGAAGTTCAAAAAGGCAGAATAACAGTTACACAGGACCGAAGAAACTCAGGGAATCTAAAACTCAGGAACACGAGTAAACAAGCAGGAACAAAAGAGGACTGACATGAGGTGAGGCAAACTGAATGAACACTCTGACAAAGAAGAAGAGGGAGCACAAAGACTAAATAGGCTACACAAGGGACGTAGGGGTAATTGGGTACGGGTGAAATTAGGCCTAATGGCAAGGAGACTAAAGTCTGAAACCAGACAAAGACAGGAAGTAAAATAAGGTAACATAAGAAAACAGGAAGCAAATCCAAAAACAAATACAAGCAGAATGTTTGGAAAAGTCCAGTTATTCTAAGGTCCTTTAGTGGGACAGATCACAACAGCTTGAAGGTGGGCAGAGCTACAACAGAGCTGTCATGGCTTGAGTTGAGTTTGGAATGAAATTTCTTTTTGTCCAGATGTCAACTAGCTAAGCTCTGCTGACTGTATTTGGACAGTTACACAGTTTTTTCTCCTGAAGATTTGAACATGCTGACCTTGTTAGCCAGCCAACTAGTTAGTTAGTTGATTACTCAGTGAAGCTAACTAGTGGACATGATGATGGACGGCCACTAACATGACAGCACGACAACACAGGAGCTGAGGCCAGTATACTACAGGACTGGATCTGTGTGAGGAATCAGATCAGCGTGTATACAAGCAATCAATGCTCTTGGCTTCATCATTCTGAGACGATTGCATCTGGAGCTCGGTGGGGAGATCATGACATGGCCTTTTTCGAGGGCAAGATTCTTGAGAGACCGGCAAACCCTTTCCCTGAAGATCGTTTGAAATGAAGATCAGACTTCAATGCACCAAATATGAGTGATAAAAGTTTACAGTCTGGAATACAAAGCTAACAGGAGAGTGAGGGGGATGTCAATCAAACAGTCTTCACACTCCCACATGCTGTTCTAATCATTCACAACAAGTGAAATCATCTGTGTGGGTGTACAAAGGGTGTGCAGGGCCTTTAACAGAAAGTAATGTGACTAATTACTTCTGCTGGTGACTAATTAGCAATGAATAATTGATTGCATATTTCAGGTAAGGTGCCCTAAACTGCAAATAAACCATACCTCAAAGCACGTTGTTGTATTATTACATGACTGCTGACTACAATTTTTAAATAAACGCATTTATTAATGTCATCCAAGCACAAAATGTTCTTTTGTGTGCCACTTGGTAATTTCTTCTTTATTTGCATTAGAGTTGTACCAGATTTCCTGCATTTTTCAAGTGTAAGTCTTGTTGTATCTCTTGTTGCACCCTTATTGTATTTGTGTTAATCTTTAGCTTATTCCCTGGGTCGTGAAAACTTGTGCACACGTCCACCATAGAAATGTGTAAAAGTGGTAACACACCACTGTCATTCTCTTACATCGTTGCATGTTTCTGCTGTTCAGTTACACCAGTTAACAGGGATGAGTCAAGGATATATAGTTAAGTGTTTAAAGGAGCACTTTTACATCCACATGCAGTTGACGCAGTGTTATTCTTGTTTTCCTCTGCAGTACCGCAGGCTACATACCTTCTCTGTGGTTCTGATCCATGTCAGCCATCAGCAACAATCCCCCAGGAGACGTCCCTCGCTGATGACATCATCTCTCAGCGTGGGAAGTTGATGGATCCCTCGCCATTTTGGTGCCCGTGGTTTTGATGAAGTGGCGAGCAGGTAGCTGAGGGGGGAGGTGAGCGGAGGACGACTGCCAAAAACACCCATAGCGCTTTGTCAATGTCAGGGAGGTGCACTCAGGTCCCCATGCAGCCCAGACAGAGATTAAGAGCAGGGAGGATAGTGGAAGTCGTGCGTGTGTGTGTGTTTACGTATGCGTGTGTGCTTGCACCATCATCAGATATATCAGGTTATCTCACTACACCACCATCTATTATAAAGTGAAATATCTCCACATGACTCACTACACGAGCAGCTAGGATGTGTAGTCACTCCCCCCCCATCCAGTGTTTCCATCCAACCCTTATTGAACCTTTAGCCTGTGAACCGGCCCAAGATAAAGAGTCACAAGGGGAGGTCAGGGGAGGTCAGGGGAAGAGAGAAAAGGAGGGGGGAATAGCTGCAGAGTGTTGCGCTCTCTCTGTGAAAGTGCAAACTCTCTGTTCTTCAAACGGCTTCATCTCACTTTAGTCTTGCGCTGTAACGGACCAGCAGGGGGCCTCACAGCCGGGAAGCCCGCCATGAGCTCATACAGTTAAAATGTAATTTAACTGCATGAGAGCATGTGTGTGTGCATATGGATATCTGAGACAGCATGTGTGTGTGTGTTAATGTGACACTGTACTGTATATAAGACAAGGACAACGGGAGATGCAGGGCCTGCAGCCTTATTTCTGTCAAGGGCAAATCAGACCTGTCAGAAAGCATCAAGCCGTGCTGCCATGGCAACGATGTTAGCACCCGCGAAGGTCACAAGATGGAATGTGTGTTCGCCTCCTGCTGGGCGGCTGTCATGAATGACACACACACTCACACAAATTCAATCTGTTTAAAGCACAGAATATTATTTATCAACTGTTTTTTTGTTTGTTTTTATGGTTTGCTGGGATGCAGTTGGGATCCTGCGTTTCCACGGAGACACGTATTGTTGAAGTTCAGACAAAGTTGATTTAATTTTGTGTTTATATTTCTGCAGTAAGATGAGCGGCTTTTTCTAACCATGAGAGATGTATCACTCTGAAAGTGCTCTACTTTTATCGAGTCATGGGATAAGAATCACAGATTTGAAAGCACACGACTGTGTACATATCAAGATTAACACACACACACACACACACACACACACACACACA